TATATTAAAGACAGTTATAACTACAACCCTGATTTCCTAACCCGTGAATTTCTGCAGGAACCTCATGGCAGACTGAAAACATAGTAAACCTACCACTTCATCAAAAAAAATCCAAGCTAGATACTGGTAAACAATTAGCCCTACTTAGCCCAAATCTAATGCCTAGTCATTTACCACCTCTTGAAATAGTAAACTGTTACCAACCCTAGATAACCCAATTAAACCAACTTACCAATCCTCCTTAGTAAGCCCAACAACAGGCCTTTACCAAGCCCAGCAACAAACTTTGTCTAGTCCATATCAAGCCCAACTTATATTATCAGCAAGGCCTAGTTAGCTAACCAACCCTACTCATCAAAGTCAACATACTAAGGGCCTAGAACCGAGTATGTGATAAAACAAACAGCCCAAAACATATTTAGTATTGAATCAACCCATGCTTATCTAAGCAACCCAATAGACCTAGTTAATGCTTATCTAGAACCTGGATGAAATTTTGTCCCACTAGACCATGAAAAAACCTTCCACTTCTACCAAGATATCCTATTTCATACCCAGTCAATATTTATCAAGCCAATCCAGATAGGGATAATTCTAGTAAAATAGTATATCATTCTCTATACATACAAAAGTTTATCTCAGTCAAAGAGTGGCAATCTCACCCTTCTTCATTTTGAGATCTTCCAGGTCACATTAAGAAGTTTAACTATTATGATTACAAAGGGTCATGGTTTAAACTGATACTCTATCAAGATGAGTCTTATGCTCATTCCTAGTTCATACAATTTAGCAAGGATTTCAAAAGTCAGATTCCTTCCTGGTTCTTGTAGAAGTGGCAAGTTCACAGCCCATGATTGAAATCCTTCTAGATGATCTTCAGGATCAAGTCACTTACTTCTCTTCTTGTTTTAAGGTTAGTCAACACGAGTCTCAGTTTCCTATATTACTATTATTTATGAGTAAATATAAAATTCCTTGGATCTGCAAGTGGCACTACAATGTCATAGCAAACACAGTGGTTAGCCAATATTATATTAAATGGTGGTCAAGATTTGATCACAGTTGCATTATTGCCCAAATCAAAGCAAAATTCCCAATCAAAGTTCCTATTCCAATCAAGGTTACAGGAACAACCACCAGTACACTAGTCAAACAGGTTATGTGAGCTCTCAAAGTTTCACTAGAAGTTCAGACATTACCAGTAATGCAAAACAAATGCTCCTCTAAGGATTCTAGTAAAACACAAAAGGAGAAGAAGTCATCTGAGCTAATTGAATTAGCATAAAAACGCCTCCAGCAAGCAGTCAGCCAAGAAGACAGCTCTTCTACGTCGTCACAAGCATCAATCAACCCTTTTTTGGATCCCTTTCAAAATACCCAAGAACCCAATAATTCTTATGATCTATCCAGTCCATGATTCCCATCACTATGTGTGAAAGATTTCAATCACTACTTTCTTCAACTAAAGAAAAAAAAATTGTCTTTTACACACCCTAATGAAATCACTCAGCAACGAGGCTACTTTCCATTAAAAAAGCAGCCATCAGTCTATTAGCTTTTTCACCGAAAGCAAGATTCTAGCCAACATCAGGGACCCAATAGTCACATGCTCCTGTCAGCATTCACCAGGGTAAAAGAGATTCACTCCACTTTTTCTACCGAAAAGTGAAAGTGAAAAACATCTTACCCAAGTGAAAAACAATTCACTCAAGTAAAAGTAAGTTGCCAAAGTTAAAGCAGCACTAGAAGTCAAGAGAGAAATTATTTCAAAGATTCTCTGTAGAAATCCTTACTCCTATATGAGGACTTCAATCATTCTTAGAAAAAGGAGGCAACCTTTGGCCAACACCAAACTACTCCAAATTTCTCTTTTCTCTTATCTTTTATTGTATCCAGTCTTCACATGATGCATAAGAAGATCTTCTTTTAGTAAACTACTTGTAAGTTAATTTCAGTTAATTGTATTTGTAACATATTTTGTCTTCCGCCTTCTAGTGGTGGATATATATATATATATATATATATGTATGTATGTATAGAGAGATAGAGAGAAAGAGAGAGAAAGAAAGAGATAGAGAGAGAGGGAGATCAAGATCAGATATGGGACTACAAGAAAGGGCTTAAAATACAATGTTCCAAAATACACAAGAGAAACACAAAAGACACCAAGGCAAAAACCCACTTGGCTACCTAGACTCGGTAGTGGACTCATCTCGTTGCATAAGGTTCTTGAAAACATGAACTACAAAAAAGTGAATACTGTAAGCTCAGTGAATGTACATGTACAGTTAGAGTGAAGAAATACTATTCTTTAATATCAATATTAGTTCAACATAGTAAAAGTGAAAACACCATATTAACCACCATACTTGTGCATACATCATAAATATATATTGTTACCATCACCAACGCCATACTTACCACTAAGGCTATATCATATCCGCCACACATGCATTTTCATCACACAGACAATATTTGCCACACAAGCATAATCCGTCACATAGACGTTATTTGCCAAACAAGCATAATCTGTCACACACTTAACTGAAAATCTATTTGATATCTTGCAATGTCTTCACGTTTCCAACATTACCCAACACAATAATAAATCAATAACATGTAAGCTTATCATACTAATAATAAAAATATAAGATAGCACACCCGCCTCAGGTTGGATTCTACCTCAGGTCCGATCCCCTATCAAAGCTTTAGGTGGAATGGTAGATAATGTAGACACCTCCATACCTAGCACACGTGTTGTCACAAATGCATTTTAATATTACACAAGCAAACATTAAATTCAAGTGTTCATGTGTGACCACCCTCTCATGTTTGAGTTCCCTTCACATAACATCACCACTTAGTTTGGGCTCTTTCTTGCTCTCACTCTAACCCCATGCGAAATTTTTGATTCTGGATTCAATACAGCAATCATATAGTTGTAGACAACCTAATCTATTTAGGATTGTTCTTAACTCAATAGGATGCTTTGAAAATCTTAAGGAATGAGTGGATTAAGATTAGGGGTTCCATGACAAAGATAAGAAAATTCAGCCTTGTTGGACTGGTACAAGTTGTATCGGTTCCACGATGTACCAATAAAATTTTGTTGTACCGGTTCTTCCCAGAAGTGAAACTATGAAACTTGGTTTTAACACCTCCTTCCACCTTTTCTTCCACACTCAACCACTTATAAATATTAAACCACTTATTCCCTAGCATCTAATGACTCAAGGCATATGAATTGTAGGATTAAGAGATTACACACGAGAAACTTTCTTTACCGGAGCTCCACCGAAACCTCCGAGTGATCCAACCTTAGTATTCTTGAGCTCCAACTCTACCCCAAACCACCCAAGTACTTGAGCCTAGCTGGTACTTATGAAGATTATAGAGAGAAGAAGGAAGTGTTTTACCTCAATTGAGCAAAACTCCCTCACCCAAGTTAGAGTTCTCCACCAAAAGGTGAAGACTTCTTCAACGCCTTAGCTCTCCTCCAAGGCAAGGAATCAGTGCATGCAAGAGAGAAATGTCCACTAACTTAGTTCCACCAAAATACCCTTGCTAGGAGACCCTTGGTTAAGACAGGTGTATATATGACTCACCACATTTGCTTAATTACACCAAAATCCTTCCTAGTTTCCCTTTAATCACAAACTCCACATTTAAATCTTCCAAAGTTTAGCCAATCACCACCCATTCTTAATCAATTTCCATAATTAAACCCTCAATTTAATTATCAGAATTCGTACCCTATTTCCTATGTTTCCAATAATTTAAATTTTATCTCATGATTAACATCAACATTTTAAATTTAAACCCTCGACACTATAGGAAATGTCATGTATGCAGTTTCGGGTCTCACATCATACTTTCGGCAGTTCTTAAATGTTTGTTCACTTGCTCAAAAAAAATAAAGACCTTGCTCTATTCCTTTCCGAAGCTCCGGCTTAAAAGAGACTCTTATGCAAGAAAGGCACATGCACAGAGAGAGAGAGAGAGAGAGAGGTGAGGGTGTTTTTTAAAATCTCAAGGGTATCTTTGTCATTTAATATTAAAGATTGATTTTGATCTAAATAAATTTCATCCCACTCTCGAGTTGCATGCGTGTATCATAAAATCCGTCTAAATTGACGGAATTTGTAACAGTTGCATTTTAATCCAATAACATAAGGGTATTATGTGCATATTTTGAAACGAAAAGGAGGTGATGCACACAATAACCTAACCACTGGGAATTATTGGATTAATACTATACTACTTATAAGTTATACATGTATTGTCACGTCAAAATTGAATTATTTGTATTTGCTAATAACTTGACATGTTTATTACTCGTATTAATAGATCGTGTCTTTTTTGGTTTATATCGAAAATTATTTAGTTCAAAATCGTTAATTTTTTGTCCAATTCGAATCATGTTAATGTAGCATTTCAAAAATTGTGACTCCCATTTTTAACCCCTCTTCTGCACCTGTTCTCCAAGTTGAAACTGCAAGCATCAGATTCCAAATAAGTAAGCCATCAGCATCAACTAGACAAATTCTAATCAGTGGACAATGGCTTCTCTTTATCTGCTACCTTATTCACATCCACCCGACCCACTAAAGTTCAAACCTTCATGTATAAGCTTCTAAAGACCTTATCTTCCAAAGAATATAATCTGTTTGTTTCTGGAAGGATTCTCCAAGAGCATGGTAACATCTATAAATGAGTTCCCTTTCTCTGGCTATTTTTCAGAGCTTTTTATGTTTTGCATATCTTTAAGATTACGCTTAAGATGAGTTAAAAATAGATTTTAAATTTGAAGGAAGATCCCAATTGGATATATGGTCATGAAGGGGATATCATATTTCTTAGCAAGACAGTTCTCCCTTCTTGTTGCATGCAAGTTTTGAATACACACAATCGCCCACAAATCACGTGTATTGATTAAACTCGGATTTCCACGTGGTTAGAGAGGCATGAGTGCCTTGCCATTTGTCCAATCATTGAACCAACCCATGAGGGTAATTTTTCTATGCATCTAAAAAAGAAAGTTGAACAATCCTACTTATTCTGGGTCCTTTAGATCTGCAATCCTTCTAGACTATGCCCAAAATTTTAGTATTCCCCAGAAAATGGCTTTAGAAAAAGGAGGGGCAAGACAAAAAGCATATTTAAAAGTTTATGAGGATTTAGAGAATATAATTAATCTAGAGGCCCTTAAGATGATTTGCTAGAATCAAGTTTCATTAAAATCAAGTATAGTTTCTGCAGTGAATTGTTCCCAGAATGGAACAGGGAGCAACATACAGGAGTGGTAGGTCTTCTTCATATGAGAGGCTAGTGGCCATAGGCTTGACGCTTCTTGCTGTAGTCTCACCACTATATATAGACAAGAGAGCAGTGATTGAGCCAGAGCTTGATGAACAAGAAATCTATATATCTTCTTATTTGCCTCTGCTGCTTCTGGTTTTGATCACAGCCATCGTGTTTTCACGCTACCTGGACCGGAGCCTTGCTAGGTTTGATGCGTACTGGATTCACAGGGTCGGTGGTTCTTCAACCGGGATTATTGTGGTTCTCGTTGTTCTTGCAATCGTTTTGAAATGTAAAGCTTCCACGGAGGCAGCCTGAAGTGACAGAGTGGGCAGGGAGGCCATACTAGTTATGGCTCGGAAAACCAATTACCTGATAAGGATTTGTTAAGGGTGATATCAGGGCGATTTCCACTATTGTGAATCATGGGTGCCGTAGAGCTTCTCATGGAAATACAGAAACGTATCATCGAAGAGTTATATATCCTTGCAATTCATGCATGCAGGCAGAGTTACTGTTAAAGTTAATTCCTAATTATCTGTAAGTATGAAGCTTGTTAATTGTGGAGTACAATAACTCTTGCTTTTTCTGAAACAAAATCAGCATCCTGTTTCCCCTCCCCCCCCCCCCCCCCCCCGTCTTCTCACTCCCCCTCCCTTGTGATCATAAAGATCTAAATGATAATGTGAAAGATTCTTTTTATTTAGCAACGATTTCTTTCAAATCTTCAGATACCTGTTGTCGGGATGGTTCTTGGTTTTTAAAATACATCAATTGTGGGTGGTTGTTGTAGGCATCAATCTGAATCTAATGTTTCTTCCCTAAAGCTTCCAGTGAAGTCCAAAACAACCATGTAACACTCTGCTTGATTCTCATATTTCTACCTTCAAGCCCCACTATGGGTTGCCTTTAAACAAACTTGCAATCGTTTCATCAACAGTTTGTTACTCAGAACCTAAGTTGGTGCACATCGTAATATCCACAACATTCTCTGTACAACCACGTCAAAAAAATGAAGGAAGACGGCGTCTTTCGGCCTATAAATACATTGACTCGCCTTCTGAGCCTTAGGGCAGATAATGTCAGCAAAGTGGAAAATATATTTGACATAAATTTCATACTCTTGGACTAGACGTTGAATGAATGAATGTATGAAGGCAAGTTACAGAGGATGCCTTACAAAGGCAAATCCAATGAATACAACATAATAAAGAAGCCCTCAAATCAAACCCAAAGCGAACAGTGCTGCAATGGGATGAGGTCATATCCCCAAAGCATAACCCACAGCAATCAGAGCTCCAACAGCAATTGGCCAGAGAGGAGTGCGAGACCAAGCATCAACACCACTGCAATCATCATTGGCTCCACTAAAGCAGCCAGGTCTAGTTACTTTAGCCACACCTCCCTCCAAAACAAAGCTGCTGTTGGGGGGTTTGCCGTTGCTGAACAGAACACACCAGAAATAGGGGGCGCCACCATCAGAGCCACTCACTGCAGCACCCACCTCAGTGTGATTTTTACTGTAGAGTATATCCAAGCTCTTGCTATTTTTCATCAGTATTTCTGAGAACGCATCGGAAGGCTTGACATATTTGGACTGGCATCCAAGAAAACGGCCAGTGATTGGTGAAAGGGTGGAAGCCTGAACGCCACAGGTTGGAGCAAAACTTTCAGCAATTTCAGAATCAGCAGGCTTTTTGGCATTGGGCCCTCCCACTTCATCGCAATTACCTTGGTACTCTTTTAGGTACTGCAAAGCTATGCATGCCAGGCCCGGATTGCTGTAGAGAGCTGATGATGAATTATGTGCAGTTCTATTAGAGTTAAGCATGGCTACAAGCTGGTCGGCAGGGTTCTCTGTTACTTTTACTGTTGTTTGATGGGAGAAAAATTAGTTAAGGGCAGAAAACTTGCATGAAACTAAACAATATGATAACTTCAGATTTGGAAAAAAAAAAAAACGTCACAATGTGAAGAGGAGAGAGAGAGAGAGAGAGATTTATATTTTTCACTCGGTATGTACAAATCTAAAGCTAAAGACTAAGTAAATCTGCAGCCACTGCTTATCTTATTTCATATGCAATGACCTAAATAAAAAAAATCTGGGTGAAATTGCCAGTTAAGAAGATGGTGCAAGAAAGGAAAGAGATCATCCCTGAGAACAATAAGGCAGATGCATTAACCCAAATCCCAGGATTATATGTCCCTAAATCTAAGGTGCTTAAGAGCCAAATTATTTTTGATATATAAAATGAAATCTTGTAATGCACAAACAATGAGGCACTGGAAAAACGACAGTGCTAAAAACCCAAAAAATCCACAAAGAATGAAGCTCCATCCAATGTCTTCGAACCAAAAAAATTGATGCCTACGGAAAGTGATCAACATTTAGGTCTAACGGTCTGAACATTACATCACCTTAATTGTTATTGCTGAAAAGAAAGAAGAAAGGATTTGCATCTTAAATCACATAACAGAAAGAAACACTGGCCATCACTTGCATGCATTTAGAAGGCATTAAATTGCAATGAAGTCATTATTGACAGATGTGGTCCAATTATCAATCAAGGCACTGGAAATATAGTTACCTCATACCATAAAGTCAACTTCTAATTATAAAATATGTTCCTTGTATGCTGATTACTATGTCAAATTGAGGAGGTAAGAGGGCTGACTGGTTCCATGAGAATTTTGAAGTGAAAGACCTCTCAGTGCACAAAGTAGGCGCCTTTGCATTTAAAAGGTCTCAATCTTAGTTGCATTTTCTATCCCTCTCATGCTCATATTTTTTCAAATGACAATAAGTTTAATAGTTTATATTTAATGGGGTCAGCAGACACAAAGATATATAGATACTATATACATGCAAGCAACTGCTCTACCTGATTTCAATATAATTTAATGTCCAGGGGGGTTTGCACATGTTCCATGTTTAGCCAAGGATGATGATGACATCCCTTTGTGTGTGTTTTAAAAATTCATGAACTAAAATCCCACATAAGGTGCAACATGAGTGTCAGTTTGATTGATAAGCTCTCATCCACTCTTCCAAAGGTTAGACTCTTTTGGAAGTGGTGCTGGAACTGGGCTTGTTGGTCTTCTTGGGCTCTTGCGACTGCTTGTATGATGTTGAGTAAGTATGTTCAAAATTTGCATCTATCTCCTAGTGTATGTTCATCATAGAAAAGATGATGATGACAGATGATGAGACCAAAGAGAAAGATGAGAGAGTTTAGTCTGTAGTTTGTTATTTTTATTAATTATTAGTAGATCTTTCATGCAAATTGCAAAAAATGATGAAAGACACAATTCAACACAACCTACGATATTCCAAGACAGGTCACATCAACTGTTATTAATACAAGAATTACATAATGCTGACACATATTGTAGTCTAATTAAATTTTCACAAGACAACTTAAGGTAGGCTGGTACAAGGTATGTTTCCCTCGCGTATTAATTGATGCATGTATAGACGAAAAAGGAACACGAAAATGTGCAATATGAATGCCAACAGGGATGCAATTAGCAATTAACTAATGAACAGCTCATAATCGACTTATATTGGAGATTGTTCAAATTTGTTCTTTCATAAAGCAAACCGAACTCGAGCCTAATTTTAGAGCTTGTTTAACAAACGAACCAAACTAGAACGATGTTTTGTCTGGCTCTCTAGATTAGTGAACAAATTGAGCTTGTTTATATATATATATATAATATTATTATGCATATTATATGTAACATACGTACATATGGTATATATCATATGTATATAAACAGACCAAACTTGATCTTGAACACGAGCTTAGAGTCAAGTTTAGGTTTGAATACAAGGAGCTTGGATCATTTAATCAAGTGAACTAAGCTGAGTCGCGCCGAGCTTTAGCTTTGAAAAAATTAATGAACTGAGTTTAAACAAGATGTTTGAACCCGAGCCCACCTAGAACATTATTCACAAACCAACGAGTAGAGCTTGAATAATCTCATGCTAGACTTAGCTCGGGTCACTTGCAGCCCTAAATGCAAGATGGTTGAAACCAGGAAACAAAAAGATGGTCAAACAGTAGAAGAATAAGAAGAAAGGAAAAAGAACCAACCATTTTATGGTAAGCCCAGAAGATCTAATCATTTGAAAAAAAAAAAGATAAACACATGCTCAACTCACATATCTCAATAAAAGTTCTTTATCTCTCAGTTCACGAGAGACAACATTATAAAAAATTCTTTTATTTCTCCCTTTTCAGTTCCTCTAGCATAGAGAGAAGGGAAACAACTTCCAAATGAGTTCTATTCGGGATAGTGACATCCTAAAGTCAATTGTGAAAAACCAAATCCTTGATTCATTGCATAAAAGAAAGAGTGACGATGAGCCATCCTTTAACCAGAAGGTCAGATTTACGCCATTTGACAAATGCTGGATTTGGTTGAGGATCAGAATCACCATCACGAAGAAACTGTGGTGGCGGCATGATTTCACCATTGATGAACCCTTGGAGGTCATAACTCTCAAGGATATTGGTAGAAAAGAGACGAAGTGACACAAATTACAAAATGTATTTTGCCCATGTTACTGGGTGTGTTCAGAGAAACAAGAAGATAAGTAATTCAGATAAGATAGAAGACTATTTATCACTAAAGATTCAAGTGTGGGTTGTGATTTTGAATCCTGGCTATCAAAAACAATAGAAGTCTCTCATGATTACGAGAAAATAGGACTTAAAAGTAGTTTTATTGTCCCCTCCCTCCCTCCCTTCCCCCCACCCCACCCCCGCCCCACCCCACCCCACCCCACCCAACCCAAGATTTTGGGTTCTACGAGAATATGTAGTCTTTTTCTTTTCGATTAATAAAAATCCCTATTCCAAACATACAAGCTAGGGCATTAAAACATCTTTGATTCCATTATAATGAAATGCCCCATGAAAGACACAAAGGAGACTTCATTGACTAGTTTGAGATCAATTTATTGAAGAGACTCAACAAGAGGCTAAGAAGGATTCATACGTTTTGGGTTCATCAGATTCTGTTTCTACTCTTTTTCACCAAGGAGTGGTTATCCAGAATTTCATGATTGGCCCCTTGACCTGTAAGATACTGGATTTGGACACTATGTTTTTGTTGGGCAACAAAGATAGCCATGTTTTCATCATTTGAGCATAGGACAATTAAATTGAGTGATACACACACACACATAGTGGATTACCAATGTTAGACAACATGGGAGTCTTTAGAATAGAACTCTCAAAATACGACTACGGAAGTTATGATTTTGAAGATCAAGGAGACATAAAAGAACAGGACATGATAAATCTTTCATTATATCGAATTATACAACTAGTTTATCCAGCATTAATTTTGTTATAATACGATTCACCAAGTCAATTTAATTATATTTTAGACTTTATGCAGTGGGAGACTCTAGGAGTGAGGCATATTTTCTGAAAAAATGTGTGTTTAGCTCAAAGATGAGGAGGAAAATAAATAAATTGCAAAAAAATATTTCTAAGTTGAAAGATCTACAAAAGTACAAGTGATCAACTAGCCGAAGGAATCAGTCTCAAAACAAAAGATCGGAGATGTAAAAACCAATTTTTCCGGCATTGCAAATGTATAGTGCAAACAACAACATTCTCAAAGCAAAAAAGGAAATTGAAATGCAAAGATCTGAACAACAATCTCAGAAGAGCTAGTACATTTAATGTCGCTTAAACAGATAAATGAATGACCAAACTACATTACTAAAATTCGTAACCAGATCAACCAAATAGTACAAAAAATGCATATATGTGTATACATGTGCGTATTTTATTCCAAATCCTTCAATGTTCACAATCATTTGCGGTGCATAATATGTAAAAAACCTATGAGGAAAAGAGAAACTCACATTGAACATCAGCAGAAGCATAGACAAAGAGTACACAGGCAAAGAGAAACAATGTAGCTATCGCCATTGCAACACTTCACACACAAGCAGAGAGAGAGAGAGAGAGATGTTGAAGAAAGTTGCAAATATAAAGCAACGAGAGATGGAAGTGGGTCTTTCTACTGCAGTTGGTTTATGCGTTGAATTCGATCTGACTCGTTACACTTGAAGACAAGATCTCGACTTTAATTTCGGAAATGCCATCAATGGACAGCTTAACCATTCAGTCCAGATATATATATTACTAAAGTACCCATTTGCTGGTTTGTGTCATTTTTAATTAATTAATTTAATAAGTTTAATAAATTATTATATCTAACTGAATTTATACCAACTTATTTATATAACAAGTCTGATGAGTTCATCCTATCATTATCGAACTGGTTCAAAATTAAATTTAAATTAACTAATTTTGTGTTGAGTTTAGCAGTGGTGCTTAAAAATTTTATGCCCTGGGCAAAAAGCAGCTTTTAAAAGGGTAAAATTGTAATTCAGCATCATTGACTAATACATGGATAGGACCTCTGACTCTAACCACTCTCAAGCTTTCTCTGTCTGTGTCTAGGCGAGAGAAACGGAAGGTGTAGTATGCTCTGTGTGCAATGGCGATAACAACCACCGCTGTGCAATTTAGCACTGTCCTCTGCAATTCGATATTCCCCACTTCGCACTTGACAAAATTGAAGTCAAAAGGAAAGCAGATTGTGAGAGTGAGGTGCGCATTGTTCCCACAGAGAAAGCGGGAGAGTAGGCGAGTGGTCTCCATTTCTCTGATTTTACTTCATTGTCTCTCCATTCCTAAACGTACGCCTCTTCCATACTATCTTCTTTCCTGTTAATTGATAGAGTTGTACAAACGTGCGATAGTTTGTTAAGCGTTAGTCTCTGTTTTGCTATAATCTCTATAGGTGCACTCTAGGGTTCAAGCCCTGTGTAAACGGTGAATAGTGAATTCGTGTTGTATTTAGTTGAGCTCAGTCGCATATATTTTGTGGCACCTGAATGCTAAACCCAAATCCATTAATTCTGTATTTATTGTATTTTGGGTTCGTGTGGGTTGTTCTAATCTAAAATTGCTAGGCTTGTGTACTCATGACAGATGTTGTGTGTATGTTTGGAAATTTAATTCTTTGTCAATCTCAACTTAAACGGTTGTTGAGGGGATGTTTATGTTACATCATCCAAAATTTAGGCGTTTTTATGTAATTGCTGCAATGCCCGGGGTTCCATATAGTTAGTAGGAAGGATGGAGTTTTTTGAACCACAAAACTCAAGGGTTCGTTATATAATATCTAAAAAGTGAGGGATATTTGATGTAATTAACATATACACCAAGATCTTAGAATTCATGGCACACGTTATGTGTACACAACACAAATTACAAAGGTTTTTATGTCATTGATGAAATTTTATGATGTCTCTGTGCAGTCGGGGCATGTGCAATTTGAGTGGGTGGTTTTTGTGGTCATGGATAGTTTATTTTGAGAAAACAATAGTTTAGAATCATGCCCCATAGGAAATGACACCAGCGGACCAAGTCAGGTCTGTCCCTTACTAACTTAGAGGATTAGTATGTTCTACCTTTTGTAGTTAGGTCCAATGACATATTAGGTCCCCATTTTTGGAAATCAACTTACAAACCACTTGAATTTTTGGACCAAAGTGAAAAACTAATTGTATTAAGGGAAATTCTCAAATTACAATTCTACCGGTGTTTATTATTAACCCACACCCATCTAATACTGCAACCAACATTCCCAAGAAAGGATGAAGAAGAGAAGAAAAGAAAAAGAGGAAGTTTAAGGAAGAAGAGAGTAATGGAGGAAGAGAAGAATGACATGATTAAAGAGGCCTCTATCCCTAACATTTTGTCACTCTCTTAACTCTCTTTCCCCGTCCATCATGCCAAAAGCCCAACATTCACTTTCTCAATATTATTTTCTCTATTTCAAACCATTTTCCTCTGACGCCAACTCATTCCAATAAACAAAGAAGATATAGTCGATCTCTTTCCTTTGAATGAGTATTTGAAATATACTAGAATACTCTCTCTCTCTCTCTCTCTCTCTCTCCCTCTCCGGCATTTCTTTTACCAACAAGGCCAACCATTTGTAGATACAGAAGAACTCGAAAGAAGGAAGATATTATTGTGAATGGTGAGAACAACCTCATACATGTTGCCTTGTCCTCTACTAGACGAAGAGTCAAACTTAAAATTATGATAATTTAAAGAAAACTCAAAAGAAAGTATAGCCCAATCTCTCTCTTCTTAAGCTCCTTAAATACCTTAACGTCGATTCCCTCTCTCTCCTCCCCCCCCCCCAAAAAAAAAAAAAACCCTTGAAGTTCCTTAAATGGATCATGTGATGTCATGACCCAAATGTTAACAAACGTGTGATCTAAGTAAAAATTCTTTTATTCAAAATTTCCCAGTGGGAGCATTTATGGCTATTTAACAATTCAATAACTATTCCTCCATTCAAATCAAGAAAGACATCCACCTTCATAATCTACAAATTTCCCTTCTAAGAGCATTTATGGCTATTTAACAATTCAATAATTATTCTTCCATTCAAATCAACAAAGACATCCAACTTCATAATCTAAAAATCTCCAACAACACATAAATCCCCAACAAAACATAAGTCCAAGCTTAAAGTTTACAATCAAATAAAAACCCCAACATCATTGAATATCTCATATCTAACTAGTCGACCCTGAAAAATCATAAACATTATTCAATCATTGAAACCAATAAACTAAAACTAGATAAGCAATCTCTACATCTCGACATCTGGATCGCCATTCTGATCCACTTCGAAATCTAAATCTACATGCTCTCCTATGCTGATATCAACCTCATCACCAAAATTTAAAAAATGTTAAATGAAGGGATGAGCACAACTACTTCAGTGGAGAAACTTTCCCAACCCTACCTAAGGTGTACAAAAAAATATAAAAGGTCGATCTCAAATTTACAAAATAACTATATAATTTTTGAAGTAAAACATATGACATTATTGACGATCTCAAGTTTCGATACATGTACAAAAATTTCACCATATAATAGATAATTCAGAATTTAAGCAATTGATAACAGAAATATCTCATTTATACAGGTTGACTAGCAATAATTCACACATTGAAACATATATGGTCCACTCCCACAAACACAAACCATCCAATCAATCCCTGCTGGTCCACATCATTTTAGAAACCGCATACATGATCAATATTTAACGAAACCTTCTCAAGAGTAGTATACTAACTCTTAGTCTCGAACTAATGTGAACGAATAGTGATTTGAAACCCGCAAAGAACTAACACCCCATTATGAGTGATAGGAACCTTTAAATCTCTTGAGGTAAGAAATTCATCTAAATACTTCGTGTGATATATATTCGAGTGCATTCAAGTTCATCAAGCCCACCAGTACAAGAGATTCAAATCATGTTTTTTCAACATATCAAGTATACAACAAAAGATACTTTTCGAAATTCTTAAAATAAGGAAGATTTCAATAAAAAAATGAAGGAGATCTTAAAGAAACATTCTCAAGTAGTCATTGTTCAAGATTTAGGGTTTATGAACTAAAAACGCACATTGGATGTAAATCAGGTATGTTTCTAACAAATCGAGTCATACTTTTGCAAGAAATCTAAAACAATTGTAGATTTATAATATTTATACGAGTATGAGCCAAAAACCATATGCATCTAGACCTAGCCTTAATGTTTAGAAAAGAGAAAAACATCCTCCCTTGATTACATAAAAACTTGAAGCTAAAGTGTTTGTGTGATTTCTTATGCGCAGATTTCCTTTTCCTAATCTCATTTCTTCTCTCTTCAAGCCTTTCTTAAGGTTTTTTTTTTTGGTACTTAAATGACTATGTGGATACACTACTCCACATATCCTTCAAAGAGTATTGCCCATTAGCACTACACAGTTATCTACAGTAAATGGGGTCCTAAGATCATCAAACCTACATTGGGGTCAAAACTAAGATCTCATCACGTGTTTTGGGCCACCACACACCAAGCTTTCCTAGTTGTGTAGACCCAAACCCAAGTATTGAGCAAGGAAATTCAAGTTCTTAACCACTGTACCCACCGCTTGTGGGGTTGGAATGTACAAAATAAATCCTAAAATTGATCCCTAGGGTATTTATAGGGGTCAAAAACCAGTCTAAACAGTGAAACTTGATCGGGGCCGAATTCGCATGTACGTCCGTACTGAAATTTTGCTTTTGGACGATACCAATTCTCTGTCCAAAATTTTTAATTTGCGTTCGGATGGACCTTTTTCGTCCAGACATCGGTAATTTTCTACCTCAAACTTGCAACCCAATTTTGACCTTATTAGAGGCCGATTCATGAATTTTCATTTAATACACTTCTGTAAAGCTTGAAGTTTTCTTTCCAAGGCCGCTAGAATCAGTTCAATTGGATATTGGAGTAAAAAGTTATAGCCAAAATACTGAATTGATATCAAATTTCTTCATACTCGAATTATCTCCAAAATGTGTTTAAAGCTCAAGATACCTCCCAAGGTTTTTCAATGCTTTATTTCGTTTTTGATGTTAATTTGACTCAAAGAGTGATTACCCCAAAAATGTCAAATCACCCAAACATCTCAATAACTCCTACTCCTACAACATCAATTTTTGAAATGAACTTTGTAACAATAATTAAAAACTCAATATTAAACTAATAATTTATTATATATTAAAACAAATACATGGGGTCTTACATGTGAAGAACTAATTTTCAATCCACTAATGAAATTCTTTTGTATTTCGTATTTTATTGAATATTCCTGCCAAAGAAGAGATGTCAAAGCTACCCATGTATTCAGTCTGTTAATCTGCTTAACCTTCATTCTTTTGCCATCGCTATCCTTCCCGAGTTCTTGCCTTCTAAATTATGTTTATTCTTTGCCTTCTCTCTCTAGACTTACATTTGTTTTGATGGGGAAGGGAGAGAGGGAGCAAATTTATTTGAATTAATAGTTAGAGAGGGGTATTTTAGTCATTTCAAAATTTAAACTTTGGAGGGAAAAATCTATTCCACTACCACGATATTTTTTGTCATGCATTGTTGAACTTTCCATCCATGTGGATACAAATATTATAAGTTTCACCTTATTCCAAAAACACAAACGGAATGTTTGTAGCTTTTTATGAGAAAGATAATGTCACTGGGTATTTAATCCAAACATACATCATGTAGAATAGTACAAATGGAACGGGTAAATGGTTTAGATATGGAATATCCGAAGATAGCCGTAATTGGATGAGACCTCATAAATTTTTGACATTGATGACAATTTTGATTACATCTATATAGTATGTTTTAACATTTCTTTTATTTCATTAGAAACTAGAAGATATCAGAAGTGATGGCGCAGTTATTGCATGGTTAGACCAATATGACTGGCTTTGGAATCCTAAAATGAAGACTAAGGATTTTTGGTCTAAAGGGAAATGTACCTAGTAGTTTTACTAGAAGCTTATGTCACAAAACTTGCATGGTTATTTCGTCTGCTAGTATTTGTATGATTAGAAGTGTTTGGATACTGTTTTAGTAGGAGAATTCAGAATAGTTTTTGTTTTAGTAGGAGACTTAACATATCCTGCATCCCTATTTCTTAGATCATGGTGAATTATGAAGAATTTGGTCATTATTCTCTGCGAAGAACTTTGTGTCTCGTGCCCTGATCCTTATGAAAATTTGATAATCACATTTCTTTGTTATCCTCCTCCTCCCTGTTTTGCATCAATAAGTGACCAAAAATAAAAACTCTTGTGAGTAGCAGAATGCTATATGGTAATTATCTACTTTTCTTGATGCAGAAGCTATAGGTGACAGCATTTTTGATAAATATTTGAAAAGGTAACAACGAACTATAATCATGAATTTCATGTGTTCTTATTTTTATTACTATTTGGTTCCTGATGCTTGTGTTGTCGAATGATTGGCAAGTATAAAAAAAGTCATGTGGCTACGTTGTTTCTTGAAATTTTACTACCTAGTATTAAGAAGCTTCCCCTTGTTTACGGCGGTTAGATAGTGGCATTTCTACACCTTTTATAATGTGAAAAAATGGATTTTTGAATTCTAAAATTTTTACATTAGAGGTATATGCATATAAAGGTTTTGGATAAAGCTAGGTAATCCTCCGTCACATGCTACCTGGAATTTCTACATGTTTTTGATCATTTCCTTTGTTGCTAATCGTTTGTCCAATGTATTAATCAACTAGAAAAAAGCTTGACCCGCTAGAGGCTTATGTACCTGCAGTTATATTGACCGAGTTCCAGATTAAAGAATTAGGTAATACCCGTTCTTTTTAATTCACCATTTTTCATTCTTGATGATTTCTAAATTAGGAAGTAAACTCAAGTGTGGCACCTTTTGTATTATCTCATTCCTATTTGCGTAGTCATTTAGTGCTTCAATCTTCATACATGCATAGCTGATAATATTCAAATTATGTGGTTCTATAGAGCCCTTTCTAGGCAAACTTCTTGTGTTTGTCAGCAAGATATTGGTGTGCGAAACTGGAATTGGAGCAAAATTAGTACTACATTTAATTGGTTCTTTTCAAATTGCCAACAGCCAAACTCGGTGTTAGGAACAATAATTATACAAATCAGCATCCTAATTAGCCAAATTATTGTTTATTAGATATTCCCGCACACCTCATCTGAAGTGGTAGATATCTTGCAATAATCTTATCTGGTCCTGGAATTATCATGATAAGGTTACCTTTACCTTTGTTGTTGGTGGGTAAGATCCTGGAATTCGCAGGTGATTTTCTTGATTTTTCTCTAAAGCATGTGTGCGTCAGGTACTTCAAGGATCATGTGCAAGTATGCAACCATAGGAAGTTGAGAAATATAAATGACAAACATTACAAGGGGCATACATATCCATGAAAGGCTAAACCCTGGGGAAACCAGGGAGAGATTACAAAATATCATGGAATTTGACCACCTAGTAGATGTGCCCTCTCACCTGTATCTTAATACATAAGCCTGAATCCTTGCCACAATGCAGCAAGGTTTTTAATGTGACCCACCACCACAGTTCAGTGATCTTGCCTTAGACTGTTACTGGCCTATAATTATGACCCTTGGGATCTGTCCATGGACTGATCACTAAGAAAGCTGGGAAGAGCTTCCATCAAGATCACTTTTGCAGGGCTTTGTAATGGAAAGGACCACATGTTACTCACTCTTTCTTCTAAATTTGTTTTACCTAATTACAAACATAGGCAACTTAAAACTGTTTTTTACCCCGAAAATGCACTTTGCAGACCTGTAGCAACCTAGGGAAAAATAATGGGTGGTGATTTTTCCATTGCCAATCCAACCAAATCATTGTAGTTTAGCTTCCATTCTTATTATCTCATGCTGTGGTGATTCCCTTTTCCATATTCAATCTGTTTATATGCATATATCACCACTTCCTATGCTTTACTCCTCTTTCTTCCTTTAATTTCTATTTCAGCATGTTCTTTAATTTTTATTTTTTTTATAAAGGAGAATCTCTAGAAGTTGATCAGCCCAAATATGCTGACTGCCGTAATCTTTTGCGTTATGGCCCTGCAGCATCTTTTCGTGTTAATATCAGAGCAGTAAGTTGAGTTTTCTGTGGAACCTGTTCTTTCTAATTTCTTGTTATAACAAGATCCACTTCTATTCTTGACAAGGATGGATACTCTGCATCTATATTTTTTTTAACAAGATATTTTATTGGTAGCTGATTATTATAGATTAATCTCGAACTATTAGGACCACTTGAGATAAATGTAAGTGAAAAGGATACTCAAACTAAGAGTAGAGTCCCGTATATATAGTCAAATAATAATACAAAGTGACCAAAACATCCTTGTGGTCTAGGCCAAATATAAAATCATAGTAAGGGTAAAAAAGGAAAAAGAAACCATAATAAATTAGACTATACTCCAACACTCCCCCTTAAGTTAGGCGCAAAAATATCAACTAAGTCAAGATTGACAACAGAGTCCCGAAGAATGGATCAAGTGACAGATTTGATGAAAACATCCGCAATTTGATTACTGGTCCCCACAAATAATAGAGTGACAATACCATATCGAACCTTCTCCCGAAGAAAGTGAACGTCGATCTCTATATGCTTTGTCCTCTCGTGAAATACATAGTCAGAAGCGAGCTGAATAGCAGATTGATTATCACAATATAATGTAGATGTTGGGTGCTTGGGTATTTTCTTGGTGAGGAAGAGGCAGTGGATTGGTTTTCTGATTTCTGGTTTTGTCGCCGGCAGTGGGCTGGTGATGGTGGCAGTAGGGAAGGTGATAAAGGCTAGGGTTAGGGTTAAGGTTAAGGTTAGGGTTAGGGCTTAGAGATGGAGGTTAGGCTTTGATACCAACTTGAGATAAATGTAAGTGAAAGAGATACTCAAACTAAGAGTAGAGTCCCGTATATATAGTCAAATAATAATACAAAGTGACCAAAACATCTTTGTGGTCTAGGCAAAATATAAAATCATAGTAAGGGTAAAAAAGGAAAAAGAAACCATAATAAACTAGACTATACTCCAACAGGACCTTTTAGAACTCCTGAAGAACAAACCTGTTGTGCATCATAGCAGACAGCAAAGAGAGAAAAATTTCCCAGTTGTTTTTAGCAGATAGAGTTTCGTATGTCAATTTGGTGGAAGTAGGTTACAGTGTGGGAGTTCCTTCAAGATTTTGCATCATTTATATGATGATTGTCTTTGGAGCATTGAGTTGGTGGGACATTTACTCAAAGTCATTCTCAATAGTCAATAGTCACATTCCAAAGTGGGGATGAGCCTGCATTGGACCTCTCAAGGCAAGGACAGCAGAGATCTTTAGTAATGTAAAGATAGGGTTATGGCTCTATTGTAATTTCTATGGAATATTTTGAGACAGATCGATAAAAAAAGAAGAGAACAGATTTTACAATTCTAAGCACAAGAGACTACTGAAATGTGCGAGGCAATGACAGCATTGGAGCAGCAATTGATGCGATCTGGGCTTATGGAAAGTTATTCAAGCTCTGCAGTGATTTCTGTGGGATGAGAAGGGGAAACGAGGTCACTAATTGCTGCAATTTTTTCAAAGGTGATTTAGTGGCAATCTGCAAGAAAATGAACTTTGAACATCATGACTTCTCTTTAAGTAGTATTAAATAGCCAAAGGCACGAACGTCTAGAGACTCTGATCACCAACACAAGAATCACCAAACAGGTCCCCTTTCTAGGAGTTGCATTTATAACCAAGAGCAAATTATCTAGTTTGGTCATGTAAACAGTAAGGACATTTCACAGTGCTAGATAAATGTAAACCCAGATAAATGTGGGTTTACCCTAAACCTATGTCTCAAACATGATTTTCAATCATCTTGTTTTATTTATGCCTATGTGGAATAAGTTATCAAAGTAGAGTTATCGAGAATGTACTGAGCAACTACTAACCCAAATAAGGAAATAATACATTCTGATATTTCAAGCCACTGTCACATCATTGTTATGATTTTTAAACTGCATCATTTTTCTGTTTGCTGGAGAGAATATCGGGCCATCTTGCGTTACTGCTGCTTTTGTCATTGTTGGCATCATATTAGAGGCTACATCACTTCTCGATGGGCTCCATGTAGGATCTATGTGTTTGTGTGTCTGCATTTATATGTGAATGTATAAGCACACACACAGCTATACCTTACGTTAAGTACTTTGATTTTGAGTCATCATTGCCAGTCAATTCATGCTTTGGTTAAAGTTGTTACAAGTTCTTGAAATTTCTTAAACTACAGGTAGCACAATATGCATCTGACAGTGGCAATGGCAAAACTGCTTTCAGTAAAGTTGATCAATGTCTCAGGTACTACTTTCACCAGCTTATTAAAAGCAATCGTATTAACTGTCTTGTTGAGACCAAAAACCAATAGAGTTGCAAGTTTTGTCATGTTGACTAGCTTTATAACAAGAGTTTCTGTGAGACCGAGCCAATTGATTTGATGGATGGGGTTAGCAATACAGATCAAGGGCCTAATTTGAAACTGTAGGATTGGCTAGTTGGACACTGTATATAAATAGCACACGTCGCCCTGTTGCAATTTGTGCATGCAATGATGTGGATACAATTTTGAACTTAGATTACCTTCTTGGTATTCCTGTGGTTCTTATTTGAGTTGGACTTTCTTGTTATTCCTACATCCTTGCACTTGCATTAATGAAGGCAGTTTTTATAGATGATCCTGACCTATATGACCTAGTCAGTTGGTCCAGATATTAGAAGCAAAGACACTGGTGTAACACATGTTGTTGAATGACATTCCCATAATAGTGAATTTTGCTTTTGAAGAGCCTTGGAAGAACTTGATTCTTTACTTCTCCGTGCGTCAAGAAATGATCAAGGAGCCTCAATTGAATCAATGAAAGCAAACATCGGTATTGCTCTTGATGCGGTGGACAGGTAATATTTATAAGATCTTTGGTAGGTGCATTGGGGGAGAAGAAGGGGGGGGGGGGGGGGGGGTGCTAATCTATAAACACAGAATGTTTGAGAATTTCATTTTTATCTCTTATTGATGTTGGTTATTCATAATTGAGATGCACTTAGAACAAAAAAGGAAAAAAAAGAGGCACAATTTGAGATTTGATTGTATGCAGCCTCCTAAATACTGTGCCTTCTGATGTGCTCGACAAGGGGAAGGCAATAGCTGATGAGTACAGGACCCCAGAAGCTGTAGCACCCGAGAACTTGGACCCAGAGCTGAAGCAGTTGGAATCATTATTATGAGTTCAAGTTTTGTAAACGATCCAAGTTATAAGCCAAGCTAACTAGTAGTAGTACATTGCTTAAACTCGGTCTCGGTTTGACTTATTGGTTGAGAACCTTGGGTCATTTACTGTTGACAAGACAGTCTATAATCAGATAATTACAGGTATCAACTTTGAGTTCAATATCCATCCCTACCTTTTTAAACTCACAAATATAAAACTATTACTTAATGCTCGTGTTTTAAGGAACGACACGACAGTGTTTTTGAAAAATAACAGTCTATAATTTATTGTACTTACCATCTATCAAAACTTAACAAATATGGCTAGAATAATTTTAATCTAAGAACCAACATGACTTTAATATAATTAAAAATAATAATTATTTTGTGATTAAATTACAAAATGATCAATGTAATTTAAATATTTTTGGAAGTCTAGTTTTTAAGAGGAAATCCTTGCCAAATTGTCAATCGGGACCTCATCCTCTATTTATTTCAAAAAAAAAATTGCATTGATAGATGAGAGAATTTGAATATCATTTTCTTATCTATCAAAATTTTTGTTGTTGCATCATGTAGCAAATGGAGGAACCTAATCAAAGAATGTAGTGGGTGGGAAAATAAAATTTAGTAAGAGAATTTCAGCCATCGGGAGTTACTGTACTATCATCTTTTCTAGTTCTGGTTCAATGAAAGAAGACATGAAAAACGTGATTCAAAGATACAACAAAAATTAAGTTAAGGACAAGATGTTTAATAATAACTCTTTGAAACAACACAAAGGGTAAATTACAAAGAAACATCAAATACAATTCCAACTGGTGAGTTCTCCAATAGGATAGAGTTGGAATTTTTTTTGATCAGACAGTTCGAAATCCGAACAAGATATTTGCCAGTTCTAATAGTTTGGCTGACAATGCATTCCGTCACATTGTATTTCTGTTGTTTCATAATTTTTTTTTTGGGATCAATTGTTGCATTATAATTTGTTTAATATATATCCGATCAATTTATTTATAATAATAACGTGAGAGGATTGGTATTGTGCTAAATTCATCATATTGCGGATACGTTCAAATACTTGAATTCATTCTAACCTATTTATTAATTCTAGTGTCTAACAAACGAGTAAATATCAAGTATAACAATGATATCACGTTATCATATCACCGATCAATAATAACATGCCATGTCGGATAAATGAACCCCAAATATTGAGTATAAAATGATATAACGCCACAGGTGAGGTGACTTGTAATATTACCAATTAATAATAATATACTAGATAAGTAAGTGAACCATACTATTCCAAAGTGTTAATTATTCAACGTAGTTGCTTATTATAAAGTTGTTAAAATAGTTGGATCAACTACACACATTATATATAAAATAAAATAAAAATAGACATCCAATGAAGAAAACTTGTTGTATAGCTTACATCACAGTTGAGTACTACTAGTACATGGACACAAAGAACACAAAAAAATAAAGACTTCAGAAATTTACAATGCACGAGAGCAAAAGTAGACAAGTTACCAAGCTTGAGCAGCCCTGCTGCAACCAGATCAAATAAGAGCTTCTCAACAAAATAATCCCGTATGCTTGACCACGTTATGATGGTACGAGGCTGCTGAAGATGCGCTTCAGGTTCGGGCATGCTGCCCGTAACCTTCCCATGCTCAATGGGGATATCTATGGACGCCCAAAAAGATTATAAAGCATAACTTTAGTTGCACAACAGAATTAGAAATTATAAATTATTACAAGACTACATGCACATTTATAAATGTTATAATGGGAGGACTCTTCATTTGATTAACCGAAACAGACAGATATCACAAGAGAGACTACTCAGAATAGAGATTAGTATGATTTTACATCAAAAGCAGGGTGGGATTAGCAAGCTTAAACTATATATACTTTTAACAATGAAAAAAATCACCTTTGGACAAAAGCGGACATCAAGGGTCTCCAGCATGTTACATTGTGATATGGCTGCTTCAACTGTTTCCTCATCAATGTTGCAAGACTAACAAAACCCCAAAATTGCACCAACATGAGTTGTAAAATTAAAAAGAAAAAAGCAACCAAACAAAATATAGAGACTGTTCAAGACCCCCTACAGGCCATTTGAAAACGTTAAAAAAAAAAAAAAAATCAGCCCAGCAAAGTCCTCAATAATAATCAGCATGTTAAAATGCACATTTGCATTAATTAACTTGTAGGTTGATGAGAGAAGACTTTCTCAGAGAGGAAACAAGTAAACCTTTCTCAAAAGAGTTCACATAAATGAAGTATTATAATGCAACTATGGAAAAAGCAACTCTCATGGATGCAAAAAGATCCTTAAGAAAACCCTATATCAGGATTGGGACCTTTCAGAAACCACTGAAAAATGAATACTCCCAAAATTGAAGGCATCCAACAAAGAAAAAAGATGAAAGTGGAAGAGAAACTAATTGTATTGGAGCTTGCATGCTAAACTTTATTGAAAACTCGAGAAATGAGAACTTTCATGGGGTAAAATAATCAAAGCAAAGGCTTTCCAGGGAGGGGAATTCAATATGCTAATCCAGGTCCCTACACTCTACAAGACAAGTGGGCAAGTTCTCATCAGAATAGACAGTTTAGAAACAGATCAAAATATAATCCTGCGCAGGTTACTATGTAACCAATTTCTTCATTTATCTCGTATAGTGATACCATGAAAACTCAACGGTTGGGCTCCGTGTGTGTGTGTGTGTGTCCTTGTTAAGGTATCCAACTTAAAGAAAATTTACTATAATAGAATAACCGACAAGACTCGTGCAAATTAGGAGTGTTTTATACTACTAATGCAGGACACGCACATCCTCGACTTCCATGTGGACAGACCACACAATCAAGGTACTTTGACTGGAACTCAAAACAACTTCCTGGGAAACAACTTTTTTTAAGACCTGAGCTCATAAACCTCCAAAACCTTCCTTTTGCTATGATAGTAAGTTGGGATATCAAATACCAAATCAATTAGCTATGAGCAGATAAACCCACAATTACCGATGTGAGATAAGTTCTAATGACTCCACTCCCTAACAGGGCCACACACACGAGTCACCAGACCATTGTACTATTTGGCATGCCACATTTGCAATTGAGCACTACAGCCTCCACCAGACCCCATAACACCCAACCTTTTGCAAATTCGGCCCATTCCCTCTCAGACACAACTCACTCACCCTTCACAAAATCCCCTACCCTGAAATAGCAAGTTAAAACCCTTTTTTCCCATGAACTGTAAAGAGTTACAATTTGCAAGGATCTATATATCCAAGCACATGCACATCACATAGGGAACAAAAGGTACGTTTTGTGGCCCCAGCATCTCTGTCACTTTTCTGATTTCTTCAAATTCTATCTAATCCCCCAATGAAACTGGCTAATATGTTTGTATTCGTTCAGTTTCACCACTGTCAACTCTGATTTTTATTTCACACATGAGAACTGAATGTTGAATGTTAGTATCTCGAAGTGTTAAAACTCTGAATTGGTGGGGGAAGAGATAGGGAGGGGAAGGACTCCTCTTTACAAGGGTGGGTGGTGATATCTGAGGGCCACTTCGTACCAAACCCACCATGTTAACTTCCAACCTTCACCCACTATCTCTTGACTGAAGAAGTGTAGGATCTAAATGTGCTTGACACAAGCCAATTCTCATGAAAAAAAAAACTCTCCCACTCTCTCTCTCTCTACCACTCAAACACACACACACACACACAGTTCAGATTCACCAAGAAATCAATAAAGGACTCTAACTTGGAGAGATAAAGGATACCTGGAGAAAAAGGCTACTCATTCTTGGACACTTGAGCTTCAAAATTTCCAAGGAGCAACAATTGCTGAATATGTAACATAATACGTGAGAAAACTGGTCAACAGAGAAATATAAGAATCAGAAATCAACACAACCAAATCCATTAAAAAATATACCTCAAATTTAGAAAGCATAAATTGAAACAAGCAACATCGACTTCCTTTAAATATGCAGACAGAGACAGGTTTAATGATGATAAATGGAAACACCGTGCCATTGGAGGAATAAAAACTTTCTTGATATTAGGACAGCCAACACAGTTGAGGTGCTGCAGAAAACGATTTGGCTGCTCATCTTTAAAATACAAGCCAGATGAGCCATGAATGCTAGGTAGCTCTGATATCTGATCGGCACTGGAACCCCAATTCAGGTCATGCATATTCACACATCCATTTAAGCTCACATGGGTCAAATGTGTACAACAAGCAAGAAGCTCCTCTATGGCAGTCTGGCAAAGCGTCCCATATGATAAGTCCAACTCGCGGAGGGCTGGGAGAGCACCTTCTTTGTAAAGAGCCTTTAGTGATGAGTCAGTGAGATACTTGCACGCTTGTAATTTTAAAATCTTCATGACAAAAAGGGAAAATTAGGTCAAAATTGGTATAAATAAGGTAAAGAAAGACTTGGAAACCAAGAAGAAAACACAAATCTGAGCAAGCTCTAGAAGTAAAACCTATTATAGACTCTATAATAAAGACAAAGGGAAATATGTACGGGTTAATCTCATGGCTGCTGAGCTATACAATCATATTTGGTGGGTTCAACATTGCTCTGACAAACTTAGTATTTAATTCATATTTGAGTCAAAAAATGACGCTTGAATAGACAAATAAATGCTGCAATACTTTCTTCTTTCTTTGTGAGTAGAACCATTTTAAAAATCATGAAGAGCAGCCAAACAATCAATCCAAGTGCATCAAAGCAAAGAAATGAAAGTGTAATAAAGGTTTATGATCAAAAAAGGAAGGTTGTAAGTTATTATGGCATAATACAAAAGGCTAAAGTACAGCAGCCCCCCCCCCCCCCCTCTCCTTCCTTCTTCCTTTTTCCAAATTAGAAAAACCCACCCCAACCAAAGAAAAAGAAACAAAAAACGGGTGGTACAACTTAACCACTCTCTGCTATAAAACTCGACGAATCAATTCCTTCAAGGATGAAATTCTATGACTGAACCATCATCTGCTAAGATTCCATCCAAAAAATGCTCCATTTGAATTAAATGACCATATACCCCACTTAATCAAACCTGAGACTGGTTCACAAGCAGGAGATACCTGGCATGATCTCTACAATCAACGTTTACACACACACAATCGCATGGGGGAGTTATTTATTTATTTTATTTATTTATTTTATTTTGGGGGGGTGGAAGGGAAAATTCTTGAGCAATGCTATAGATAGGATCAAGGGCATGATGTAGGTAGATAAGTTGAGTGGACACTATTTATTCACTTAACATGCAGTCAAAATTTTATTTCATATTATAGTTTATCATATAATATTTACTATATACAAGTATCTGAATGAGTACCTGCATTTGTATGTAAGACTTAGTTTGATACTGAAGAACCAATAGTCCTTGACAAATTACAATGTGTAAGAATACATGTGTCTGTGTGTGAGAAATTGGAACATTTGACTAAAAGAAATGTCTGGTTAATATTGGCAGAGGATGAACGCAATTATTTGATACCTTTAACTGCAAACAGGACTCAAAAACTGGATGCAAATCAATCAAAAAAGTGTAGGACAAGTCAAGCAAGATCAGATGTGGAAGCGAGCGCAAAGATGAGAGTCCCTCAGAACCAACAGATGGGCAAGACATCAGTATCAATGATTCGATGAGTGGGCATGATACAGTTGTTGCAGACAAACAATCATCCTTGAGTTGGCTGCAAATGTGAAACAGAATAAAGTGTCAACTTTGGAATAGCTAGAGAAAGTAGAGTTCTGTAACAGGATGAAAGGGGACAACCATATATAAATTGAGCAAAAAGTAACACGACCTGCAAAATGAAGCATCCAAAGATGTTAAGAGAGGGCAATTAATGCATGCTTCAGATAATACACCGCATCCCTTCAATTCAAGTGACACCATCTGTGGTGCATCAATATGGAGTACATTTAGTTTGGGACATATTCCCAGATTAAGTGACCGAAGACCAACCTGCAACAAAGGCGAAGAGTGTCAGCTTTACAACTGCTAATTCTTGAGAAAAATACATAACCCCAATAAGATATATAATGCAAAAACATATCAGGAAGCACACCAAATAAAATCACTCCCATCATACAGCATTGGTGCAAATGCAAGCTGTGCAAAAAAAATGATTTTGAGCCTGAAAGCTGAAACAGAAAAATAAACTAACAACATGATGCAAGAAGGATCCCAAAGTTTGAATTGAAGATTTGATGTTAACCCACAAAAATCAAACTTTGCAGAAAGAGTAAAATAAACTAGCTTTAACCCCACTTATTCAAAACGCGACAAAAAACATGAGTAATACACATTAAAGCACACTTAGTTTTCTTCTAAAAAATACAGAATAATTTTGACTTACAGGGCAGAATGAAGCTGTTTCAAGATGATCACAGCCATCCAGTGAAACTTGCTCAAGATAAGGACATGTGAGTTCAAGAGAAGTAATACCACGACAACCAGCCAGTGAAAGGCTGATTAAAGAAGTGCTCAAAAATCTCACTGCTGTCAAACTCTGAATAATAAGAAATAGCTATAGTCAGTTTTTTCCCATAACGATGAAATATATCATATGATGTAACAAATATTTTTGTATTTTTACTACAGTAACTGGCAATGACCAATCGGCTACCAAACAAGGATGGTGCAGCACACTTGTCATTTTTCATACTTATATATTAGGGACCAGCATGGGGTGAAATTTAACACTTCAAACATTTTCCTTAAAATGTTTTTTCTGAAAATGTTTCCCTAGGTGTCAACCACATTGTTCATTACAAAATCAACAAGCATACATTTTTAGCATGGCAACAAAGTTCAGAAAAAACACCATGCACCAACCTTGACTTGATGGAACAAGCGTCTGATTATCAAGATCAGGATAGGCACCTTACTTCCCTCCCTTTGTATTCTCATATTAGCCAATGATATGGAATCAACATTAAAAATTCATTTCGCAAGAGAGAAGAAATGCTAAGAGAAAAACTTAAATATCCCCCATATACAGCCATTCAGTATGCTCAGACAGAAAAAATGCGAGTTGGAAGAAAATCTATTGAAATTTTTCCTTCCACACATTATTATTTAAATAAAACAGTTACATTACCAATGGACCAGATGTCTGAAGAGAATTTACAATAAGTTCTTATCAATGTAAAGTAGATGCATGTGGTAAAGGACAGGTCCTTTAATTTCCTGTTCTATAATAACCAAAATAATTATGACTTAAACTAGACTTCTTTCCTTCCTCCTGCTTCTCTTTATTTTTCTTTTCTACGTTAATTTCAATTTCTCCTCAACTAGTGACCAAAGTTGATGTAAGTTGAATGAAAAGATCCTTGATTCCAATCACTGTATACCATAGAGCACAGCTGGTCACATTTCTTATACCCTGTCAGGTGCGTTTCCTTTAATTTAGGTAGTATTCTACCATCAACACAACTAATCATCAAGTTCCCATGCAATCCATCCTGATCTTAGTCTATGAGCATGTCCTCTACTATGGTCACTTTTTTCCACCAGGCAGTAAGTAAATTTGATAGAACCCAACAGCCCCCTTATGTAATGAGTACTTGAACCATCACCCCCTTTGGGCAAGGATGAGGTGCCACACAAGGTAACAGCTGGTTCACTCCATAAATTCTTAGCAGGAGGTACCACCCAGGCTGACAGCTGTTTCACGCTCAAAATTATTACTCCAACTCTACTACATATGATTAAGCATTATAAATGGAGGACAAAAGAGTTACATCCATAACCAATGCATGATGCAAGGATGACTCCCAGCTGATCCTTCTGTACCTAAGTATCCATAGCATCCTATATACATGGGAGGAAAAAAAGTCACTCTCTCGATGCACTTCGATGTTTTCCAATACATCCAATACATGTTGAATAGACCATTTTTTTTTTCTTTTGGATAAAAAACAAATCAATTTTATTGAGCTTGAAGAAGTATATAAGTGACGAGAGAGTTGGCCAAGATGGCCGAGCTCTAATCAGAATACAAATAAAGAACAAAGAAAAATAAAGAAGAACAAAGAAACACAGCAGTATGGCTAGAGCACCATAAAAGTCCCACTATAATTCACAAACAGCTCTCCACCACCCCCACCATAATGCAAAATACGGGAATGCCTTCAAAATTCTTTGACGCCAAAAGGTAAATCCTTTCCTAATATGTAAATCCATCCATCTAATGCAGGGAGGGAAGGAAAAGAAAGGGGAATACCAAATCCTCGCAAGGATTAGGTTAAGAAACACAAATCTCCGCCCAAAAATTAATCAATTTATATTCATAAATCTAATTCAAATAATTGGGATTACACCATTATTTATAGAGCGTCCTACTCAAATAAAAAGTACTCTAACTAAAAGTCTGTCTAAATTTCCTAATGAGATGAATATTAGCTAACCAAATAATCTAATAAATGATAGAAATAAATAAAATCCTAATCTTCAATTTTATGCCTATCCAATCCCTATCACCATCATTTCAAACTTGTCTTCAAAGATTCTGGCATTTTTTCTTACCAAATAGTCCACTATGGCAAGAAAAGCACATTTCAAAAGAAGGGGCCCCTTTCATCATGTCAACACCGCTATAATCCACAATCAACATGGAGTAGATAAAACGTGAAGTAATCCAACTCATTCCAGCCAAATTAAACACTTTATTCCATAACGCCAATGCACTAGGGCAATGTAAGAATAGGTGATCTACATTTTCAAAATCATGCCTATAAATAACACAACACCGTAGAGAAATACAGGTAAGAGGTCTTCTCCTTTGAAGCATATCATTGCTATTAATCCTACAATGAGTAACAGTCCACACACAAACTTGCACTTTGAGAGGCATTTTTGCCTTTCATTATCAACAAAAATGGATGACAAAATGGACATGAAGGATCATCTATAAATGAATCAAAGAAAGATTTACAAGAGAGGCTACCCGACCCATCAATAGCCCAAACTCTCTTATGGTAGTAGAGTCATAGTTATGATTTAATTGTAAATTCTCAAGCAAAGGAAACCACCTACTCCACATCTCTATCATCAACATTCCTACAAAACCCGAAATCCCAGGAGAAAGAAGGAGAGTCAAGTCGAAATCACGTAGTCACATATCCTCCCAAAGCCTAGCTCTCACTCTCACTCCCTTACCCACTACCAGTGTAATATTTTGAGAAAATTTAGGTAATCCTGAGAAATAAATTTTCATGGACTAAGAAAACTTCACCTCTTAATTCCATTATCATCCCATTCATTAACGTGTAACCTATATTTTGACCAAATGCCACAAAAAAAAAAAAAAACATTACCGATGGAAACCTCCATAACCATTTCCCAACTAAAGTCACATTCTTCACTCTTCAAGTTTCCCACCGAAAGACCCCCTTCCCCTTTTTTGGACCTAAAAACCACTTCCCAACTTTTTTTCTTTCTCCACTTCCTTCCCACAAAATCCATCATCATTTTTTCAATCCTCCCCACTACCGTAGAAGGCATCTTAAACAAAGAAAAGTAATAGATAGAGATATTAGCAAGGACCGACTTTACTAATAGTCTTCCCCCTTTTGACATAAAAGCTATCTTCAACTAATCCAACCTTTTGTTTTTCCACTTTTTTAATCATGCCAAAAAGCCAAGAATAATGGATTGCCCCCTATGGGAAGACCCAATATTTCAGAGGCCACTCACCCATTGAACATCCCAAGAGACTCACCAACCTAGAGATATTATCATGATGAGAATTTATACCAACAAGTAAGCTTTTATCCATATTAGCCTTTAACCATGAATGAAATTATTCCAAACTCCTCCACAACTTTCTTAAAATTCAACAATTTTCCTCATCTCTTGAAGCCAAAAAAAATAGTTTCACCAACAAATTGCAAATGTAATACAAAGACCCTTTTCCCTCTCAATCTCAAACCCCTCCATGAGATTATAGTTTTTGCCCTCTTGACTAACCAACTTAAACCATCAACCACTAATGTTAAACAAAATGGGAATAAAGGATTCCCTTGCCTATAAGCCCTTTTCATTTACCATAATAGAAAAGTCATCGACAGCAAACATCCTCTTATGCACTTCCTCCATCTATCCCCACATCTTATTACCTCCATCACAAATCCAAAGAATTTCAATTCACGTGATCATAAGCCTTCTCAAAATCAATCTTGAAAACAATACCCTCCTTTCATCAGAATTTATATTCCTCAACCACCTTGTTGACCACAAACCCTCTATTAACTCCCTCTCTATTTTTTCCAATCGAACCCAGATTAGTTATCCCCTTTAATTTAGCATAGGACTTCAAAGCAGCAAATTTAGGTGACACCTCCATCGAGCTTCTGCCACATGTTTCATCTGTAAAAGTAGAGTTGTCTTCAACTTTTCTACGAATGTATGTAACATCTGTGCCACCTTCATCACTAAGTGGATTCCAACGACATCACCACCATGAACCCAACTGCAAAATGACCCTAATATTAATCGAATACATTTTACAATGGATCTCTACACGCAAAGATGTTGGAATGAATCCAAGCCTTATCCGACCAACCTTAATTCTTGCTTGGAATATATTTTCCATATTTTAAGTCCAAAGATCCACCTTGAGAAAACCCCCACAATAAGCACCAATCTTCCGAAATGTATCTTTGGACCACAAATGAAACGACAATCCTTCCACACCAATCTATCCACCCAAGGAAGATACCTTACTTCGACCAGCATTTGCTTCTAGTACCCATTTCATCAATTGAACCAACAAAGATCATTCTAAGAAACATTTTTCATCCTTACAAAATTCTTCTACCATATCAACTATCTAGGCACAAAAGAAAATGGCTTTGTCAACTTGAGAGAGGTTCATAGTAACACTCAGATTTCAAGATTTTGCTAAAGTATGTTCAAAATCACCCACCAGGAATAACTACTGCTCAAAACCTCAAACAATGAAGCACTATAAAAGATTCAAATACTCCTGTCTATATACTGTACCGAAACACGATACACTAAATACACCACCAAGAGAACATGTCACTCACCATGCAGTCCTGCTACCAAACATTAGCATATTTCCCACATTCATGAAGCTGGAAAATTGCAAGAAGATGTAATCACAAACCTCACAGTTATCCAGAAGCAATGATCTTAGCATAGGGGATCCACCACCATCACTGAAAACATCACATATAGAATCTGTCAAAGATTCACATTCTGTAAGGTCTACTTCTTGCAAGCACTGGCATTGCAATGTCAATGTGGTTAAGCTCTCTTGTTTTTGCAACACTAACTTCTGCATGAACATGAAATAAACAAATCATACCTTCAGAACATTACCTCTTCAAAAGCTGGAGCATGAAAAACATCATTAGTTTAACAAAATACATACTTGAAGCAAATTTGAGATGATGTTGATCCGCTGGAGCGAAGGGCAATTTGACACTGTAATAGATGACAGTGTGATACTCCGTAAATTTAAATCAACAAATCTGCAGGCATCATAATAACAAAATTTATATTCTGTAAAGCAGTGCCGACAAACACAAAGAGAAAAAATTCCCCTGCCGAGAAGATTAGGGATTGGAGTAGCATATCATACTTCCGACAGTGAACAAGTCTAATATTCTGCAGTCGAGGTAGATCTAAGGAGACCGATGTCAATAAACTGCAATTATCAAGCTCCAAAACCTGCAGCAGATCCAAATTCGAAATTTGACATCTGTGTCTTGGAAGCACCAGAAGTTGAGAAAATAAGGGAGTTCTAACCTCCAACATATAACTATGAGCTATTGCAGCCATGGAAGCTGAAGTTATGCCCTCACAGCTGTGAAGCTTCAGTACTGTCAACATTGGCAGTCTCACAGACTTCACAGAAGAAAAATCAAGAAATCTTGTCAACTGGAGTTATATGTATATATAACTGAATAAAGATGGTCAACTCATGAAAACTGACCTCAAGAGAGATGTTTGGGCAGTATGACGCATCGAGAACATGGAGATTACCACAAGTGAGAGCTATTTCACGCAGTGTTTCATCGCTAACACATGAACAATTTGACATATCCAAAGACTCCAACAGTGGACACAATGTTGCTGCTGAACGGATTGCAGCATCCGAAAGCTTGTGGCAAGAGGCTATATCAAGGTCAAGCAAGAGGGGACAGTTGAGCACAGCATGTGGCATGCTACTGCGCTTCAAGGACAAGGTCTCCAGTTGAGGGCACCTGTAGAAAAGAATACTTGAGCACAAAATTAAGATAACCATTGAATACTTTGATTCAATTTAGTCCAGGAATTCATCACCACCTTACAGATACACGGAGAACACGGCATTTCACAATTTGAAGATGGCGTAATCTATCATGGTATATAGGTATCTCCTGAATACCACCACTACCAAGAGCAGCTTCATTAATAGTCAAACTCTTCAGCATATGACAATCTGTTAGGGCCTGAAAAAAAGTTTCCCCTAGTTGACCCTTGCCCAATGTTAAAACCTCGAGATTTCTGCAAACAACCAGTAATATCAGCAGTTGTCTCATAGTATAACTATGTCCGTACCTACTGAACAAGAAAAAGCCAGCTACCTCAATGATGAAACTGTTTTCATAACAAGTGAGTGGACAGCAGGAACACCATAGATGTTAACTGCAGTGGCATTTGGATATCGAAGACACATGTCCTCAACTGTAAGGCGCATAACCAGTAAGCATTAGGGTAGGAAGTTGGATATCATCGAGAGGAAGAAATTTAAGATAAGCATTGTTATTTGAATTTCAAAATACATGACAGCCAGCAAACGGAGGCTCTTTTCTGAGAATCGTAACTCATGAAAACTCAAAATAAAAAAGCTCATAATTGTTATTGTAATAACTGGGACAATTTTAATTATTTAAGCTCTATCATAGTGTATGTAGAGATAAACTTAATTCTACCAAATGAAAAAGCAAAGACAAAATGAAGCCAGCCAGACTAACTAATAAAAACTCCTCCCTTTGAGTGGAGGAATTATTAAAATTATATGCTAAATCACACAGCAACTATAAGTGGTAGTAACTACAAGACTGGATAGTGTTGGCATTGCATTTTTTGTAACATTTACTACCATACACTAGCAATTGACACATCTCGACACTAATGGACTCCCTCCGTCCAATAACTCGGAAGGTTTTTGGGAAATTCAACTTTTAAGGATGTGATTAATTGTGGTGGGAAACTTTTGAATTCCACTAACTACCCTTCCTTGAAATTCGAAATTTCTGCTTTTAAAGCTCATCACAAATTTGCAATGATGTATGTGGTGAATGCTGAATGAAAAAGTAGCTTGACTTTTCAAATTACACTTCAATTTTGGGAAGTACCAGAAATGAGAAGTAAACTCTAAGAGTCATTAAACCTTAGGTTGCGGCCCACATAGCACACATGCTGCATATTGTTATAAATATATTTAGTCAGTCTTCTGCTAATATAACAGAAGGTAACAACAGCTTTCTTCGCATTCTTGAACACCATAGAATTGCAAGACAATTACGTTTAGGTAAAGTTGCAAGAGACAACTTTGGTCCCACAAGGGAGAAATTTGGGATCTACACCTGCTGGTCACTGCTACAATTAAGGGGCATGCACAAATAGGGCCTTGTAAAGAAACAGGAACTGGGAAGAGATGAGGAACTTAACTGTGGACAAGCTAGAAGGAAAACCCAAGAAAAAATGGACTCACATAAGAAACACATTATCACGGCCACGGATACACTCAAAATTTTTCTCATTTCTCAATAATCCCACCTTTCCGAGGAATGTGATTACATGAATAAATCAAGAAAATAGTATTTTAGCACAAAATTAACAAAATACTCACATTGTTGTACTGATATGCTCCGATTCTCAAAGTTTAAAAATCTCCAGAAATCTTCATGAGCACTAGCTGCGCGCCACTGCTGGCAAACCCTTGCAGCTCGACAAAGATCAATGTGGTCCAAGAAAGATAAAACCTAAGACAACAGTGAGGAAGCGTAACCTACAAATTCAAAGCAGCAACTAGAAGAGCATTCCCAACCACAAAATTTAGAGACCGCATACCATGTGCAACAAATCATCAGTAAGATCCATTTGAACTGTTGTATCGTCCGTTCTTGAAGTATCATAGTTGACTCCTTCATCATCTGTCCCATTGCAAGAATCAAACAGATTGTCACTGCCGCGACCATCATACATTGGAGACAGGTAATGGATCCCATTTTCAAAGGAACTCTGATTGGTGTTATTGTCTGTCCCATGAAAACTATAACCATTGCCATGTGAACACATTCCAGATGCAAAACTGGAACCCCAATCCCTGCAAACACCTCCTTAATCAGCATTCAAACCATCCTCTAGTAGTGGATTCCAAACATCAGCAGTCATAAAATTTCCAAATGCATATGAATCATGTTATTATCAAGAAACACCGGAATATCAACTTAATTAAGAAATCAAATGGGAGGTAATAAAGAAACCACTGTACAAGAAAGAACCATCTTGGTGAAATGGACCATTCATGAATTCCATCCTTCGTTTCATAACTGCCATTTCACTGCTAGCTAACAATCAAATTGTTGATCAGCAAACCTGGAAATCCATCTGACCCCTCTCCTCTAAAGCTATGAACATATATATGAAATCTCATAAAGTGATAATGGTGCCAATAGCATCTCATGTATACAACGGACAGAGCTTGTGCATAACAAATATGTTGAGGATCCAGATGCATCAGTAGCTAAAATTAAGAATTAAACGATATGGATGGCTGAACCACAAACATACACTCTCTCTCTTGTCTTATTTCTTCTTCCCTCCTCCTTCGTTACATCCCTCTCTTTTGGATCAGTTTCTTTAGTGAGATAATTGATAAAAATGAGTTAAAGAGAAAAAAACCAAGTTTTCCTTATTTGATGAGCTAGAAACATTCAATTTCTCAAGAAAATTAGATTCCCGCCTCCATCGAATTTTCTGGCAACTATCAGCTTTCATTTCTCACATAACGTCGGGAGAAATTTTTTTTCCTGCAAAAGTTGTCTTTCCTCCCCATTTTGCCTATTTCAGTAAGATAAGAGCCCGAGCAGAGGAGAGAGAACATAGCCATCTAACTTGTTTGGCCTCTATTTACACGGTTGACGGTCCACACCTCCTCGTGGACAAGTTCGAGGCCGCAGATTTCAGAAGGGATCTAGAAGAAGACAATCAGTTATCTCCTCTCAACTATGTATGTTCCAATCTGTTCAAAAGTGTGAAATATAAACTCTTCTGAGAAGATTAACCAGCCTGACAGGATTATGTGCCGTTTACTTATCAGTTGCAATCTTAACTTTCAGTGCATGTATTGCAGCATGTTTCTTTAGGTTTGAGGTCCCTTGCCAGTTTGACTGTTGATTCATGGCTAAAGTTAAAGAATTTGTGTGGACTTTTAATCTCCATCTTGACAACATTTTTAACCCATTTCTCATGCTGTTTACTGGATGTAGTTTGTACATAATGTGTATATACCCGAAATAATGCCAATGAATTATGTGACAAGAAGTGATTATGGAACGCATTGATGCGCTGTTCAAGTATCTCATTTCTTGTATTGAATTAATTGGTGCTAGATATCTCATTTTCACTTAAAATAGGTAAGGGTAGTGTAAAAAATTATTTACAATAATTTCACTTCATTTTTGTAGTAAAATTTTCATCCTAATCAAATGCACGTGGGGAAAATGTATTTTCTTCCCATTTTAATTTATTTTACTTCACTTTTTATCACTTTCACTTTTTCCATCATAATTTTCTTTCTGGCCAAACGAAGCCTTTTTGATTTCATTCTTTTTTCTCTGCGTTCGACACTATACAACGAGGAAAAGTCTTCAAATAGCAAGTAACATAAGGATTGAAAACAATCTTATTCAGGTTGAGGTGGACGATGAATTTCATGCTAGAGGTCTCAAGATTGTTGATAGAAGCAAATATGCTAGCTTCCCAATTTCGGTGGACATTACTGGTATGTTACGAAAAGCAATAGCAGAAGCTGCAAATAGGATGGAGACTGCTTCCTTCTTTAGGCAGTTTCAATTGCAGTTAGCACAAGATATGGGTGGAATCCAGTATTAACTGTAAAGGTATGTAGTCAATGATATCGATGATAAGTAGCTCAGGACAGAGAAGATTTATTGTGATTCCTAGCAGTAGGAATAACGATGGGTGTGAAGGTTTAATGAACATGGTAAGTGCGGTGCTGCAGGGGGAGAATGTAGAAAATGGGTTTGTATCGTGAAGAAAGGTGGGAGTAGAATGATGAATGAAAACAGGAAGTGTCGGAATGATGGTCGAAAACAGGGTTCTAATTCTCAGCTGGAATTCTTTTTTTTTTTTTTTTTTTGGAGATATATTTTGATTCTCGGAAGAACATTCAGACTGCTCTGGCTAAGATGATCAATTTCAGTGTGTCCTGGAGCCATTCCAGGTCGATAAAGCTGTCTTCATCTGTGAAATTATTGCACAAGCTGTGGAGGTTAGCAAATATGAGATGTGTTTAATAGAGTGAAAGCATAGGGTGACAACGAGGGTGCCAGCTTCAAATGCAAGAAAAGAAGAGGTCCTATTCCTGGGGAGCTGGATTGGCTTTGAAGGATTAAGATTCCATCTGAGTTGAGGTGTCCAGGAAGATAGGTGTGTACTCACAACTCAAAATATGCCCAGCTTGTTTCAGGCAAAAATCAATGTGGGCAGCTGATTGTGGCTTCATTCCACACAATTTTAGAGAGGACTTCGAATAGGGAGGTTATGTGCATCTGAAACGAGAAGAGGACGAGGGTCTGTTAGAAGGAAACTGTGTTGTCCCTTCTAATAACAAGGACAATGGGACTAAATAAAATTGCATAAATAGATTGCACTAAAGCCAATAGGGCCAATATAATGCCTGATTTGTGGAGGATTAAGGATGAGTCCAATGAAGGGAATGATAGTTACTTTCTATCAGATGATGAAAATTTTCCATTTTAATTTTTAGAAAAGAAGAAATTATTTTATGTTCGCAATATAAAGAAAAATAGGAAAAATGGGTTAAAGGAGAAGTGTGAGAAAACCAAAAGGAGTTCAGGAATTCAGGAATTTGCAATACGGGATTAACTATAATAGAATAAATAGGAAGGACGATAAGGGAGATGATAGTTTTTGATAAGATCATTAGCTAGAATATTAGAGGTCTCGGTCAAAAAAGAGAAAAGAAGTTCAATAAAGAACTTGATTGTATAAGAGTGTCCTAATGCAGTAATATTACAAGAAGTCAAGAATGAGGTTGTTGATAGAAGATTAATGAAAAGTGTGGGGTTTTTGGTTTAGAAATTTGGTTTATTTGCCTATTATCAGGAGGAATAAAACTAATGTGGCATGAAAGGTCCATAACTAGGGAAAAATCAATTGAAGGTGAATTTACAAAATTTATGTCACAATTGAAAATTTGGATGGAGTCCAAGTGCTGGTTCACTGGGGTGTATGGTTCAAATTGTCGTAAGGAGAGAAGAAGATTGTGGAAGGAATTAGTAGTACTGTTATGTCTTTGTAGTCCACGTTGGTGTATTGGTGGTGATATTAATGTGATTAGATATACTTTTGAAAAAAATAAATGGGAGTAAAGTGACGAGAAGTATGAGGGATTTTGATTCTTTTATTAGGGAAACTAGTTTGAAAGACCCTCATTTGACTGATGGCACCGTTACTTGGTCGAATTTTAGGAAAAATCTAATATGTAATAGATTGGATAGGAAAAATCAGTACACCTCTTCTCGTTTATATTTATTTCAATCAATCCATTACTAACATCCCAAAAAAAGACAGATGACATGCAAAGTTCTCCATAGAATTATAGTATTATTCTTTGAATAACCTTAGTCTACATCAATGATCAAAATTTTGTTTCGGTGCATTGTTTCGGTCACCTAGGAAACGGAAACGTTTTAACGTATTTCAGAAACGTTTTGACCCGTTTCGAAAACAAAATGAAAAAAAAAATAAAAAAATTAAGTATTATGTTTTCAAAATATTGGTCGAAATATACCAAAATATCTTAAAATACCTTGAAATATTCTAAAATTATTGTGCAAATGCATTGAAATATAACAAAACATTTTAAAACATTATGGAACACCTCGAAAAATTAAAATTTCATTTCCATCTTTAAATTGTTTTGGTCTCCTTGAAAACGAAAACGTTTCGAATGTGTCGACCGTTTCAAAACGATATTTTGAAACTTGGTCTACATCTCTCACCCATACAACATATTACATCAACAAGGCCGCCAGGCCCATCATCAACATCATTGCCACCATTACCACACATACAATCCACCGGGCAATAGCCACCGGTGGCCACCAACTCTACACACAAACAAAACCACCCAAATAGAGTAAGGGTGGGTTTGTGAGGGTGTATTGTGACAATGATCAGTAGTTGGTGGTGATTAGAAGGAGTCTCTATCTCTCTCATTGAGGAAGTACATAATATAAACATACATATTCATAGTTAATTTATTTGGTTGGGGTTATGGGTTTGTAGCTAAGAAGCATGGACACGAACACAGAATACGGATACAACACAACACGACACCGACACCTCGACACGATATTTCTCAAAAAAGTAGGACACGGACATGTTGAGGACACGCTACAAAAAAAATTATATTTTATATATAGCATTATATAATTTATTACAAATATAGTAATAATGATATACAATTCATAAAAGATTAATTATTTTATGATAAATAAATCTAATGTCTAGTCATCTTTGTGAATTTTTAGACTAAAACATCCTCATAATAGTCCGTAATCATCAATTTTTTTTTTGTGGACAATGTGTACCTAATATATAATTTAAATAATTGCTCTCACTTTCTCAATTTCTCTTTTTTAAAACTTTTATGCATCTTTTGTTTTTATTATTATATTTGGAGTACAATTTTAACATGCCTAGTATTAATAATTATATGTTCTAAAATTTTTAAGTTTTATTAATCATATTTCAACACATGTCTATTGTTTAGTAGTAGACACGTTCTAAAGAAGTGTCAGACACGTCACCAAAAAAGTGTTCGAAACGTGTCCGAAATTAAAAATTTATCATTTAATTATAGACACGGATAAAAGAGTATCAAACACGTATCCGAGAATGTCCGAAGAGTGTCGATGTCTGACACGTAACCGACATGGATACATCACCTTCTTGAGAGTGTCCGTGCTTCATAAGTTTGCAGAGAGGTCGGGACGAGTGTTTATTGGTGGTGAGAGATGAGGGTGGGAGGTTGGGGTTAGGAGGCTGAGTTTCTCCAATCGAGGGTGATGGGATGGGTGTTCATTGCTAAGGGAGATTGGGTAGGATTGGTGGGGTGATGGCCCCCTTCAAGTCATTGGATTGTTCAAAATATATACACGTGTTTAGGGGTAGGGGTAGGGGTAGGGGTAGGGGCGTGGGTGGGGGCTATGGAATAGTCAATCTTTCGACATCTAAGGATAAGGTGTGCCAGTAAAGTTAGCTTTAAAGATATGACAATTTGGTCTCACTTGTCCATTTTAACTAAAGACTTCAATTTGTATCAATAGTCAAGCGTTAAAAGAAAATATGTTTGTGAATCTATAGGTTCTTTCTCTTGTAAATCTTTCTTTGATATGCTGATTGATGATCTTGGTTCTTTGTTTCCCAAACTATAAGTTTGTACATGGACTACAACTCATTAATGATCTAATTAAAGAAGATTTCTCCACAGTGGTCCGTGATGTGTAGAAGTACTGGTGAGAGTATTGATCAATTATTATTACATTGCCATATACCATTGTTTTGTGGCCCAAACTACTTCACTTGACACAGTTAAGTTGGGTGCTGACATTTATTCTATGCTTGTGGACGACCAATTTGAAGGGTGTGGAAAGCATAAGAAAGGTTTGGGCCTTTGGAACTCCGCAATTGCAACCACAATTTGGGGTAATTCCGTTGGAGAGGAATTCTGATATATTTGAGAACAAGTTGAATGGAAGGAAGGCGTATGGGACCAGATCTAATTCTTGGCTTCTTTATGGGCTTCAATTTCCAAGGATTTTGAGAGAATTTCACTTATTTGTATTTTGGTAGACATTTTGGTACCCTGGAGGGCCTCATGTGATACATAGTTATTATATATCAATTATATTTATTCCTTTCCTTTAGGTGGCATAGTTATTAGGAATCGGTTTTTGTTATTCCTTTTCTTTGATGGACACCTTTTCCATCCATTTTATCTTTTGAAGAGCTACTTCCAAAGTAAAAAAATTGTTGGGTTTCCCATCAGAAAAAAAAAAAAAAAAAAACGAAATTGTTGGTCACATTTAATTTTACATTTATCAACCATCAAATAGACTTCAATTGCAAAATTCACAACTAGAATGCTACACAGCTACAAGATGCAAAAAGCATTTTCTCCCCAGAAAATAAAGTAAGATAATTAGCTTCACTGTTATGTAACTGGATTCAAATACCTCAGAATAACATCATAATTCCACTTCGCCGGACAATTCAAATAAGTGGTTCCCTTAGACAAGTCGAACTACAAATGTGCTTTCCCTTTTCCAAATAAACCAAACTCCAAAATCAACATATATCCAGACATAACTATTTCAGTCTTATGTAAATTTTGAAATTTGAAATTGTGACACACAATTAAGTAGGTTCTGATCCACTACCAAAACATATAACTGACCAGAAACCACTAGAGAGCTAATGCATCACTTGTTAGGGGTACTAATTCGGACAAAAATATATTAATTAGGTAAATGCAGACCCATAAGTATACTGTGGATCAATGTTCATCATAATGCAGCAAACATTATATATGTGTGGATGTCTTTCATTAAAAAGGAGCCAAAAAAAAAAAAGAAGAGAGGGTCTCACAGTGAAAAGGAATGAACTTTCGGTCGTTTATTGTGGGAATCGTGATCACAATTCTCTCTGTCCAATCCTGCTGCTGCCGATGAAGACTCCTCCCCCAAACCCAATTTCAAATTAACCTGACCTCTACTTGAAAGGAACTGATCATAATACTGAAAAATCTCCGTGCTACCACTACCAATACCAAGCCCCTCTCTTTCGGGAACATCACTTCTAACATCACCAAGTAGTGATTGTAACTCTTCGCTTCCTACCCTCCCCAATGAAAACCCTAATCCCAAACCCTCAGGTTCATCATCATCCATGTCTTCAGTTTTACCCTCACTTCCATTCCACAAATTGTCCTCCCTCATAATCGTCCCTTTATTCTTCTTACTACAATAATTATCTTCCTCCTCTTCTCCAAAACATAAGAAACACCAAATCTTCATACACACCTTGGCAGAGACAAACGACAATCAACCGGCCAAAAGGTGGGGCCTTTGCAAGACATAGCTGGAGATCTCATACATTATTACAGAAAAACCCTAACTTTGCACAAAATTACAACACTCAATTTGACGTTAAAACCCTAGAAATCAGAAATCGATCCGGGACTCAAAATAAATTACAAACAAAAAACACTCTGCATTCCATACAGCAGACGAAGAGATCTAGAACTTCGCGTTATTTTGCTTCGACTCGGAATACAAACTATAATCTATGAACAAATGTATAAATATCTATATATATATATATATAAATATATGTAAATAGAGGTAGAGATAGAAGGAATCGACCGAACAGGCAGAGAGAGAGAGAGAGAAAGGAGGTAGAATTAGTATAGATCTGACCGGATCTTTGGTGGTAGTTCTTCTTCTGTAACTCGCTTTTCTATTGTGCTTTCAAAAGATCGGCTATAGTAGTCATTATCTATCAACCCGTTCCTTGAGGAATGGTACATTATACGGAATTTTTGGGTAGCCAAAATTAATTCTCGAGAATAGGGAAGACAACATCGAACGACGCCGTATTCCTGGACGATGTCGTTTTGGAAGCTGTATGTTTCCTTTTTTTTTTTTTGCTGGTGGAAAAACTGTGTAATTATCCGCTGGCAAAGAGTAAAATATTATTTGAATTTAATTTATTTTTACTTAATTAATTAACTTAATTCACTGTCGTCTTTAAATTGACTGTTATTAAGTCAACAAATTATATCAGATATTTAGGTTTAATATCATTATTCAATGATAAATCACCAAATATATAAGGTAATTCTACCATGTGTGTTGGGCTTGTTATGGGACGATTGAGCTGGATTGGATATTGAGCTCAATCTCATCTAATCCAATCCAAATAATTTACCATACGTTGGATTCAATTAACTTGATACAATTTAATACTTCATTTGGATAGAAAAATGAGAAATTTGAAGGTCGGTCCCCCTATATGGACTTATTTGGACTTAAGTCCGTCAAGGAAACGTTTGTTATGAAGTCTGTTTTTTATCAATTTTACTATATTATCTCTTCCCTTTAAAAGTGAAATAAAACTAAAAATTAAAAATTCTTAAATTTTAGGAGTTTGACTAATATTAAAATCTTTTCTTTCTCATATCTATTTATATCTATATATAGGTTAAGAGTTTGACTAACATTAAAAATTTTTTCTCTCTCTCATCTATTTATATCCATATATAGGTTAGATGTGTATATGTATATATATATATATATATATATATATATATATATATATATAGTAACATTCAAACAAAAAAAAGTTATCATTTGGACACAAAAAATAATACATTTAAACACAAAAAAATAGTAACATTTAAATATAAAAAAGTTATCATTTGGACACAAAAAATAATACATTTAAACACAAAAAAATTGTAACATTTAAACATAAAAAAATTTGAAATATTCAATATTAATATTTTTAAAAAATAACAACAGTAGCATGTTCAACAAAAGTAATAACACGCTTAACAAAAACTATAACATACTTAACAAGAATTATTTCTCTCAAATTCAAATGCAAAATAGTACCATTCAAATACAAAAAATAGTAATATTAAAAAAAAATAGTAACATTGAATATTAATATTTAGGAAAATAATAGTAATAACATGTTCAACAAAAATAGTAATATGAATAGTAATATAATAAAAAAAATAGTAACATGAATTTGAATTTTACTATTTAAATTTATAGTAATTTTTTTTTGTATTTGAATGTTACTATTTTTTATTTTTAATGTTACTATATATATATATATATACCTAACTTATATATGGATATAGATAGATAAGAGAGAGAAAAAATTTTAATGTTAGTCAAACTCTTAACCTATATATAGATATAGATAGATATGAGAGAGAAAAAATTAACTTCCTTTCAAGGAAGGAAATTTTTGAGATAAAAAAAAAATGGATTTAAGTCATTACATTTAATTTTAAATATAGACTTAGTCCCTTATAAGTTTCTTTGTAAACTTATCTCCAAACAAGTATATCTACGGGGACTCACTTTTAATTTTCACTAGAAAAATTTGGAACTGTGGGCCACATGCATATGTGCTCACAAATGTAAAAGAAATAACTATTACACCCTTTTTAATAAAATGGTTCCAATCTTATGCCAAATTTGAATGGGTAGGTAGGGTGAGTAAAATTAGTTTAGACGAATATTTTAATGAAAACAATGAATAATAACAATATTGAATGCCATAAAATAAGCTATATTTTTTTCAAAGTGAAATTATGATTTTTAGGATATTATATGGAATTTAAACAATTGTAATATTTTAATATTATTTTATCGGTTGGCCGAAAAATACAAGATTGAACATTTTTTAAAAAAAAATTTCAAGCACATAATTTATGACCAAAATAGTCGATGTTAACCATATTGTTATGTTGCCTTATACAGACCACCCCCTCCCTTCCCTCCCCCCCCCCCCCCCCCCCCCACCAAAAACAACCAACAAAAATACGTAACACATCTAATGTTTTATAGTACGACCTAAATGCATAAAATGTTGCTTTGTACAAAACATACACATGAAGGTAACAAATTAGGTTAGTAATCATCATTCCATTCCACATGAACAGAGTTATTGCTTGAGTCAGTTTTTTAATATTTCTTCCAATAATTATGTTCACACCTATGATGTATTTGTAATGTGTTTTTCCCAAACGTAGCAAGTGTGTGCAGTGTAGTAACTCAAAAATTCCAATATCATCTCCTCAAGAACAAATGGTAATTTGAATAGTGATGTATTTGCATAGAGAATTAAAAATCCTTTAATTTTGTGTAAAATGGTGAGAGTAGTAACTAATGTAATAAATTCAAATAAAAAAACAGTCGGTCAAGCCTTGGGAATCAACCCATCATTATCAAGTTTATCAATTTTCATTTATAACTCATCCAATATCATAATCAAATTCACTCGGATGGAAAATATTCTACTAAAATCAATTTTGAACAATATGTTTTACTTTGAATATAGGTAATGAAAACAAGAATGATAAATACTTAGATATATATATGAACCCTAGGCATTACTCGTACCGTCCACAAGAAATTAAAGTGTGCACATAAACACTAGTTTTCAAACGTGATTTTTACCATCTCTAAAGCATATTACATGGTTAGAACACATTAGAGAATTCATAATGCATGATTACAAATAAGAATCATCCCTCGGATCGTGCAAAAACTTAGTTGGAAGCAAAACCCAGTAACCAAAATTGGGGATAAATAACATGTAAAATCAACGAAAATGAACAAGAAGATTGAAAGTAATAACCTTTAACTAGATTTACTTCAAAATGCTAAGTTCAAATGCAAGACAAACAATACAAAACAAGCTTAGAAAATGAACTCTCTGGTTGCCTTCTCCAAAGCTTGGCAAACATAAAACCAAAGCTAAAACTAAAACTAGAAACTAAGATAAGCAAAAAGGCTCCCTTGTATGTAGGAATATAGGTATATTTAACATTCATTCTTCCTCCCTCATTGGTCAAGGAGTGTGGTGCGGGTGGTGGGTGGGTGTCGAAGAAGTTTCCTCCGCCAAAGCCATCCAATCAGGTTCCTCTCATAAAGCTTTGGAAGGTGCATTCATCCAATTAAAAGCAAGACCTTAGGGATTGGTAGCCTCCCCTTGAGTGTGGGACTAAATAAGAGTGATCCCACAACATCCGGATGAGAGCTCGGGACTTGTGCATTGTATATGTGTGAATATTAACAAGTACAAAGGGTTGGTGAACCGGTTCATTACATTTCTGATGAACTTCTGTAAAACTTCTGAAACTCATGAACTGGTGCAAAGGGTTGACGAACCAGTACATCGATTTCCTAATAAACCTCTGACAAACTTTTGTAACTCAATGAACCAGTACAAAGAAGGATGAATTGGTACAAACAACTATTGTAAATTGAAAAATTGGTACAACTTGTACTGGCACATCAGGGTCTTCTTGATTTCCTGCTTTGTTCTTCCTGATCCACTTCCTCATCATTGTTATACTTCCCCATGATACTTCCATTGAATCCCCTTCACTCATTCTTCGCTTCCTTACACCTACAACACAGATTCACACCATTAATCAAATTAAGACCTAATTCAAAGAATTAAACAACAAATCAATACATAAAATGAATGGATTAAATCATGAAATATGCAATATTGAGTGCCTTGCATCCCTTAACTTAAGCTTTGCTAGTCCCTAGCAAACTAAACATAGAAAAGTATGCCTTCATCCATTCATCAATCCCGCACACAATTAAATTCATCATACATACCTCACATAACTCATACACAACAAATACATAACAAAGATTTTTAAACACACAATGAAGTCAAAATATGTCTTATATATAACAACTGGTATTGGGTACAAAAGATCAAACTACAATAACCTTTGGACAAAAACTAAAGGGTTTTTGTCCTAAACTATTACAATACCCATTGAGACAACTTCCTAATAAACAACAAAGAAAACTATACATCATCCTAAGCCTAACAAACTACTCAGAACCCTCCTCTTGCTCCTCATTGTCACCCTTGTGATCCTCACTGCTCCCTATCTCCTATACCACATCTCTCAGCTCTAAGACAAAAGCTGGAGGTAGCTCTGATGTAGCAGGGGGGTGCAACAAGTGCAGAAGTGGTAGTAGTAGTTAATGTGGAAAGTAGAAAAACTCTTGGTAATACCCCTCTAGGGGCAAGAATCTCAAACAATCAATTTTGTATCCCCAGAGAGAAATCCAAGTCTCTGGCCATCCTAACATGTATCTCCCTCATATCAACCATATTAGACTCTAGGCCTCCCATCGTCTCAGCTAACCAAGTCACCATATGTGGAATGGTGGCTCTAGAGGTAGGTGGAGGATGAGTAGCCACAACAGTTGATGATGCAGGCTGCTGTGAAGATCTAGCTACTCTA